TCTTCCCTTCTCCATTTTTCTTCTTCCTCTTCTTCTTCTCTTCTTCTTCTTCTTTTCTTTTCTTCCTTTTTTCCGTTTTCGTCCTCTACTTCCTCTGTCCCTTCTTCCATTTCTTCTTTCTTTTTCTTCTTCTTTTCTCCTTCCTCTTCATCTTCTTCTTCTTCTTCTTCTTCTTCCCCCATCATCGTCTTCTCTTCTTCATTTCCTTCTCCCTTTTGCTTTCTTCCTCTCTTCCTCTTCCATTCTTCTTCTTCTTTCTCTTCTTCTTCTTCCTTCTCTCCTCATTCTCTCTTTACAACATCTTCTTCTTCTTCCATTTAACCTTCTTTTTCTCTTCTTTCATTCCTTCTTCCTTTTTGCTTTCGTCCTCTTCTTCCTCTTCCATTCTTCTCCTTTTTCTTCTTCTTCTTTCTTCTTCCCTTCTCATCCTCATCTTCTTCTTCTTCCATTTAACTTCTTCTTCTCTTCGTTCATTTCCTTCTGCCTTTTGCTTTCTTCCTCTTCTTCCTCTTCCATTCTTCTCTCCTTTTTTTCTCTTCCTCTTTATCCTTCCTCTCCTCATTCTCTTCTTCTTCTTCTTCTTCTTCCATTTAACCTTCTTCTTCTCTTCTTTCATTTCCTTCTGCCTTTTTTGTTTTCGTCCTCTACTCCTCCTCCATTTCCTTCTCCCTTTTCTTTCTTCTTTATCCTTCTTCTCCTTCTTCTTCTTCTTCTTCTTCTTCCATTTTTATTCTACTCTTCTCTTCCTTCATTTCCTTCTCCCTTTTCTTCTTCTTCTTCTTCTTCTTCTTCTTCTTTTTTTCTCTTCCAATCTTTCTTCCTTCCTCTCCCTTCTCTCTACATCTTCTTCTTCTTCTTTTTCTTCTTCTTTTTCTCTTCTTTCTTCTCCTTCTTCTTCTTTTACTTCCTCTTCTTCTTCTTCTTCATTCACTCTCACTTTTTCTCTTCTTCCTTTATTTTCCTCTCCTCATTCTCTCATCTTCTTCTTCTTCTTCTTCTTCTTCTTCTTCTTCTTCTCTTCTTCTTCATTTCCTTCTTCCTTTTTTCATTCTCTTCCTCTTCTTCTTCTTCCATTCTCTCATTTTTTCTTCTTCTTATTCTTCTTCTTCTCTTCTTCTTCCTTCTTCTTTTTTTTCATTCCCATCATCTCTTCCTCTAACCCTTCTCCACTTTTCTTCTTCTTCATTTTCTTTCTTCTTCTTTTTCTTTCGTTTTCTTCCCCATCATCTTCCTCTCCTTCTCTCACTTTTCTTCTTTCTTCTTCTTCTTCTTCTTCTTCCTCTCTTCTTCTCTCTACATCTTCTTCTTCTTCTTCCATTTTATTTACTGCTTCTCTTCGTTCATTTCCTTCTCCCACTTTTCTTTCTTCCTCTTTCTTCCTCTTCCATTCTTCTTCTTTTTCTTCTTCAGCCTTTATTCTTCCTCTCTTCCTCTCAGTCTTCTTCTACATCTTCTTCTTCTTCTTCTTCTTCCTTCTTCTTCTTCTTCTTCTTCTTCTTCCTTCTTCTTCTTTTTCTTTTTCGTCCTCATCGTCTTCCTCTTCCCTTCTCCATTTTTTCTCTTCTTCTTTTCTTCTTCTTCTTCTTCTTTCTCTCTTCTTCTTCTTCTTTTTCCCCAACCTTCTTCTTCTCTTCCCTTTTCATTTTCTTCTTCCTTCTTCCTTTCTTCTCTTCTTTCCTCTTCTTTCTTTTCTTCTTCTTTCTTCTTCTTCTTCTTCTTCCTTTTCTTCATTTCTCTCTTCTTCTTCTTCTTCTTCTTCTTCTTCTTCTGCTTCTCTTCTTCATTTCCTTCTGCCTTTTTTCTTTCGTCCTCTTCTTCTTCCATTCATTTCTTCTTCTTCTTCTTCTTCTTCCTTCTTCTTTCTTCTTCTTCTCTTCTTCTTCTTCTTCCATCTTCTTCTTCTTCTTCTTCATTTCTTCTTCTTCTTTTTTCGTCTTCTTCTTCTTCTTCTTCCGTTTTATTCCCCATCATCTCTTTCCTCTTCCCTTCTCCTCATTCTCTCTTCTTCTTTTCTTCCTTCTTCTTCTTTCATTCTCTTTTTCTTCTTCTTCTTTCCATTCATCTTCTTTTCTCTCTTCTTCTTCCTTCATTCTTTCTGCCTTTTCTTCTTCTTCTTCTTCTTCTTCTCTTCTTCTTCTTCTTCTTCTTTTTCTTCTTCTTCTTCTTCTTTTCTCCTTCCCTCTCCTCATTCTCTCTTCTCTCTTCTTCTTCTTCTTCTTCTTCTTCTTCTTCTTCTTTTCTTCTTTCATTTCCTTCTGCCTTTTTCTGCTTTTCTTCCTCTACTTCCTCTTCTTCACTTCTCACTTTTTCTTCTTCTTCTTTTTATCCTTCCTTCTTCTTCTCTCTTCTTCTTCTTCTTCTTCTTCTTTTAACCTTCTTCTTCTTCTTCTTTCATTTCCTTCTGCCTTTTTTGCTTCGTCCTCTACTTCCTCTTCCATTCTTCTTCTTCTTCTTTTTCTTCTTCCTTTTCTCCTTCCTCTCTTCATTCTCTCTCATCTTCTTCTTCTTCTTCATTTTCCCTACTGCTTTTCTTCTTCATTCCTTCTTCCTTTTGCTTTTCTTCCTCTTCTTCCTCTTCCATTCATCTTCTTTTTCTCTTCTTCTTCTTCTTCATCTTCTTCCTCTCCTTCATTCTCTTCTACTTCTTCTTCTTCTTCTTCCATTTAACCTACTGCTTCTCTTCGTTCATTTCCTTCTGCCTTTTTGCTTTCGTCCTCTCTTCCTCTTCCATTCCTTCTCACTTTTTTCTCTTAGCCTTTATCCTTCCTCTCCTCATTCTCTCTACATCTTCTTCTTCTTCCATTTAACCTACTGCTTCTCTTCGTTCATTTCCTTCTGCCTTTTTGCTTTCGTCCTCTACTTCCTCTTCCATTCACTCTCACTTTTTTCTCTTAGCCTTTATCCTTCCTCTCCTCATTCTCTCTACATCTTCTTCTTCTTCTTCCATTTAACCTACTGCTTCTCTTCGTTCATTTCCTTCTGCCTTTTTGCTTTCGTCCTCTACTTCCTCTTCCATTCACTCTCACTTTTTTCTCTTAGCCTTTATCCTTCCTCTCCTCATTCTCTCTACATCTTCTTCTTCTTCCATTTAACCTACTGCTTCTCTTCGTTCATTTCCTTCTGCCTTTTTGCTTTCGTCCTCTACTTCCTCTTCCATTCACTCTCACTTTTTTCTCTTAGCCTTTATCCTTCCTCTCCTCATTCTCTCTACATCTTCTTCTTCTTCCATTTAACCTACTGCTTCTCTTCATTCCCTCCTTCTCATCTTCCTCCAACTGTTCCTCTGACATTTTTCCTTCTTCTTCATCGATTTCATCCACTCTTTCTGTTTATTCCTTTTCTTTTCCTCCCCATCCCTTATTTTCTTCTCTTTTCTTATTTCTTTTCTCTCCTTTTCTCATCTTATTATTTTCCCTCTTTCTCTTTAACCCTATCTCCACATCATCTTCTCTCTTCATTTTCTTCCTCCTTTACTTTCTCCTCTTTCTTTTTTTGTATTCTTTTCCTTTCTCTTCTCATTTTTCTTCTACTTCTTCGACTTACGGCCATATGTCTATGAAACAGTGGTTCCCTTATGATCACCGAAATTAAGCAACACCGAGCCTCGTCCCTATCTAGATGGGTGACCGCTTGTCTTACCAGGTAATGTATGATTAGAAATGCGTGTGGTGTCATGGGTAATGGGAGACCTGTGTTCCAATTCCAGTTGGGTTCGTTATATTCCCTTACGCGCAAATGTCCTTAGAAAAGGTATGATTCCACCTCCCAGATATGGGTTAATTAGTAAAGACATTTATTATCAGCATCACCATCATCATTTATTCAGTCATCACCTTTATCTTAAAATTGTGGCTGGTAATAATGGATTCCTGGTAATGGTTTTTCTTCAATAATTTATTGCTGGTAATATTTTTTTTACAATGTATTTCTGGTATTAAAACGTATTTTTACACTTTCATAGTGTTTTGACTCCAGTTTAGGGGTTAACTATTTACCATAGCTGGGACCCTAACAGGTGCTACCACTCTGGGCCAGGGTGGACCTGAGTACACAAGAAATTAAGAGTTGGTCCCATGCTCATCAAAACCTGATCAGAGGTCTTTCTGTTGGGTGTAGTTTATCGTCTTACCCAGAAAGCGGAAGTGGTTTATCGTCCCTCCCAGGACGCGGATGTATTTTGTCGTCGTACGTGGATGTAGTTTATCAAGACGCTGTAAAGGTGTATAAGCCATAGAAAACGAACCAATCAATCTTCTTACTATTTTCTTAACTTTTTCGTTCTTTATTTTTTCCGATCATTTTTCTTTAGGTTAATTTCATATTCTCCTTCCTTCTCATTTTCCTTCGAATATTTCTCTTCAATCAATTCGTTCCTTTTCTTTTTATGCTTCATTTCCTTTTGCATTTCTAACTTCTTTCTTTCTTCTCTTTATTCTTCCTTTCATTACGTCTCTTTCTTTCCTTCATCTATTTTCTCTTCTTATTCAACACTTATTCCCCTTCACTCTTTTGTGTCTATTTGTATCCTCTTTATTTTCATCCTCGTCTCTTTATCCTTCACTTTCTCCCACTCAATTTCTTTCCTGTGTTTTTTTTTCTTTTTGCTTCTTCCCATACTTCTTCAGATTCCTCCAAGTGTTTTTGTTCCTTCTGCTTCTTTCTTTCCCTTTCTATCTTCAGCCTTTATTTCATTCTTCCTATATTTAATTATATTTTCTTTCTCTTCCTCATTTTGTAGTTCCTTTTCTTATTTCTCCATTACGCATATTCCCGCTTCTTATGCTCGTATTTTTTCCTTCTCTCTTCCACTTCTTTCGCTATTATTCCTTTTAATTATTTTTCTCTGCTTCTCTCTAATCTGTATTTTCGACATCGCTACCATCTATATAGTGATTATTTTCTCCCGAATGTGCGGAATACACGATCGACATCACTTGTCAGAACTGACTCCCACATCTGCTGCCCGCAGTACCAGACAACCACGCCTTTTGTTCAAGTGAATCAAAATGTTCGAAGAATTCCTCACAACGCTGATTTAAATCCAAGATTAAGAACACAGTAGAGTTTCGGGCGACATAGCGTTGAGGCAAAAGACCGTAGCTATTTGTACGCAGTGAACAATGAAGGTATTTAATTATGTTACATTATTCAGTGACTAGGCCCAACGGATTGAAGATTATTATTTTTTTACATGACTGTATCGATACGGACTTAAATTACAAGGAAACTCTAGTTAGGTTTCTTTACAAATGCAAAGGTTAAACTCGCTCTGACCAAACACCATCTTAATGTCATGAACAGCGAGGCGAGGGCTGTGGCTTTAGATATCTCTTAGCCGTTCGACAGGGTCTTTTCCACAAGCGCAAGGGCTACCTTTTCACTGGAAGAATATTTGGCTTAATCCAATTGTTCTTAATAAATCGGGTAATGAAGGTCTTGTCGAATAGACACGCTTCTATAACATTTCACTTTAATGGAGGATACGCTTGGAAGCTTTATCTTTTGATGTACGTTGTTTTTTATCCTCATCAATGACCTTCCCGATTACATCAGTTTACAACTAGCCACTTATGCTGATGACCCAACTATTTACTCCGGTCTTGGGAGCAAGGACGACAGGTCCGACAAAATAAAAATTAGCAACTACTCTTGAAAATTACTTCCAATCAGCGGTTACCTAGGACAAGAGATGTTTTGTAAACATGATACAAAAAAAAACATCTCTTGTCCCAGGTAAAAAATCGATTGGAGGCAATTCTCGAGATTAGTTGGCATTTTTTTGGGGGCAGACCTCCGCTTGATGTCAATGAAAAACGTGTGCCAAAAAAGGCCCAGAGTTGCTCTGTAAGAGATTAGGAAAACTGCTTTCATTTAATCCCTACATAAGACCTACTTTGCCTTCCATCAGCATGGCTGATGCTAATCTCTTGGAGAACAACTGTACGCCTTCTTCGGCCCACGTTTTTCAATGACATCAAGTGGAGTAATTATATTGAATCAACTGCTAGGAAAGTTGGTTCACAGTGTTGTGCCAGGCAATTTTTATCATCAGAATCCTTCTTGCGCATTTATAAATCTACGATTCGTCCATGCATTGAATATTGCTGCCATATTTGGTCTGATATAACAAGATATTCTCAACAAAATTCAAAGAGTCTGACCAGGCACAAGACTTGAGTCATTTTCTCACCACCGCAACGTAGAATCCTTCTTTCGATTCTAGAAATATTTTCATGGCAATTCTTCTGATGATCTTTCCTCCTTGGTGCCTCGAATGTATGAATTTAAGCGTACTGTAATAAGAAATAGTTTCCCTGTGACTTATCTGTAAATATTTTATGGTAGTTTTTCTGTTAAAATCTTCCCTTTGCTGACTAGTCTCGAGGGATTTAAGTACAGTACCGGATTGTAAACAAGATCTCACCATTTTTCAGTTAAAATTGTTAGATGCAACCGTAAGTTCTATGTTAATAGTTTCTTCTGTCGTACATCTTGCTTGTGGAAATTTATTCCGGCTTTTGACTTTCCAGTAAATTTTGATTTTCAAAAATTAAATGGAATATCAATTGTTATCTTCTGTCTTCTTAATCTTTTATTGTTGTCTACCCATAATTATGTTTTCTTTCTCTTATATTCATTCACACTCAGTAAACTCCCGTGTCTTAGTAGCTTTATTGACTTGCTTTGGGGTGAAATGATTACACACACACACACACATATATATATATATATATATATATATATATATATATATATATATGAATATAAAAGTCAACACTCAGAGGCGACAGGCTATTTCATGCTAGACGCAAACGTCGGCCGCAGTCGATTGCGTCTAACGTAAACAACCTGTCGCCTCTGAGTGTTGATTTCAATTTCCACTGTTATATTTATATTTACATACGCTCTATCTCTGATATTGAGTACTTTATCCCATAATATAGCACACCTTAAAACTATATTTCTTCATATATATATATATATATATATATATATATATATATATATATATATATATATATATAAGTGTTATAGTGTCTGTATAAGCTTATAGTTCTGTTTAATAATATTTCAAAGGAAAACGCTGTAACAAAGGAAAAAGGTTTAATAATACAATAATAACGAATACCGTACTTAGTGCGGTAATTTGTACGACAATCTTTCCCACCCACTTTGCGACTCTTGTTCCTGTGAGCGGACGTTCCACTCGTAGTGAATGGAAGAGTCTATGTTCAACAATTTAGTGTAACAAAGGTTGGTCGTCTTTCTGCACAAGATTAAAGCAGATAATATATAATTTATGTTGTATAGTATTAAGCATTATACAGAGCCATTGAAAAGTAACTCTCCACATTATGTATGATGGACTCCTCCGTAATATAAAAATTATACTTAGACAGGAGAGTCCATCATGCATAAAATAGAGAGTTACTTTTCAATCAACCTATAGATATAGATACATGAGTGATGAGAATACTTGAATTTCAGTGATTGTAACTTTAATAATAATAATAATAATAATAATAATGATAATAATAATAATAAGAAGAAGAAGAAGAAGAAGAAAATCATAATAATAATAAGAAAAAAATAACAATAATAATAATAAGAAGAAGAAGAAGAAGAAGAAAAAGAAGAAGAAGAAGAAGAAGAAGAAAATAACAATAATAATAATAATAAGAAGAAGAAGAAGAAGAAGAAGAAAATAACAATAATAATAATAATAATAATAATAATGATAAATGCTTTGATGTTGTACGTGCTGAATTGAGATAGACTAAGACGATATTAAATATCCGGTTCAATCTGTCTGTTGGTTTATCGCAATCACCTCTGGGTTAATGGATTGTACACCTCTGTTCAACAGGAGTGGGGGGGCATTATTTCCGCGATTCAGTGGTTAGTTTTTCATACTTTTAAGGATGAGGTACCCAAGGCTACTTGGTATTCATATCTAGATTCTTGGGAATAGGACTAGCCAGGCCTCTAAGTGAACTAGTTTACCAAACTGTAAGGTATTTCTAACTGAAAAAAAACAACAGAAAACTATAACCATATTGCGCACATTCGGCTGTGAGGCACGTGCTTAGTATACCATTCGTCTTTTATGTGCCTTGTCCCTTCAAGACATAGGCGATCATGGCCCTCCACCTCTTCCTGTCCCTTGTAGCTCTTAATAAGTTTCCTCTTTTTGTTATTTCTACCGATCCCTGTTCTGCCATCCATTTGCTCAAACCCATTAGGTATGTTACGGGCTGCTTTCAGCTGTTCCTCTTTCCCTCAATTTGTTCTGTGTGTACCAGATTTTCCAAACCCTCCTTCCTCATTATGTTCCACAGAAATGTCAACTGCTTCTTCCTGATGTATGAGTTTCTTTTTTTTTCCCTCCTTTTCGGTCTATGGTATCCTCAGCATCTTTCTATAGAACAATATTTCTGTTTCTCTTCATCATCTTTGAGGAGATTGACCAGTATTCGCTGCCATACAGGAAGACAGATATCACGTAACAGTTCAGTACTGTTTTCTTTGTTTCCAGCGAAATGTTTCTGTCTCTTAATACTTTGCTTAGCTTTTCGAATGCATCTTTGGCCATCCCAATACGTCTTCGGATTTCAGTATCGCACATTCCATCCTCTGTTAAAACATTTCCCAGATATTTAAATTTCTTTATCTGCTTGATTTTAGTATTCCTGACCTGTAATTTACACTTTTTGGCCTCATCCTTTTGCTGGTAACCATGCATTCTATTTTTTTGTAGTTTATATTTCGTCCTTCCTTGGCACTTCGCTACCTTCTGTGGGATGTTTTCTAGTTTCTGTTTCGTGTATGCTATCAACACTGTTTCATCTGCATATTTTACATTGTCATAATGAATGTTTGCGGAACTTCTTATTCTCTCAGAATTGCCTCGCTGTACAGATTGAATAAGTCACAACCTTGTCTTACACCCCTTTCTATTTTTCCTTATATGCTGACCTCATTTTCTTCATTTATGCAGGCGGTAGACTGAATATATTGGATTTTGTATATTTCTACACCAAGTTACTTTATTAGTGTGCTGTGCATTCACTTCATAATAATAAAGAAGAAAAAAAAACCTAGAGTTGACTGATCAGCAAGAAACAGGTATATCTGCGTATAACATTGGGGTATTGACCACCATACTGAAAGTATATGTGGCACACGCTGTTTGTAGGTAAATGGCATTTGGTAAGGATTGGCTTTCTTAGAAGAAGGCATAAATAATCATCTTTATGGTATTGCTAAAGTTAAGTGCAATGGTCTCGCAGAGAGAATTGATTTGAAACAATTAGCAAATAAATTAATGACAGCAGACGAAGGAGGTGTTACTATAAGGGATGGGCAATCTACAGCTGTCATTATCTGTACATCCCTAATTGGGTATATTTTATGACAGTCCTATTAGTAATGACTACATTAGCGATATGGGATGCCGATTGCTGGTAAGAGGTAGAATTTAAAAAAAATAGGCCGACTAGAAGACATGGAAACGGAATAACAGAAATAATGAATAATCATTTGAATATCGAATGACATCGAATACGAACCGAGGTCGGAGTTTTTTATCTTGCTTTCTGTAGATGTAAGTGGGGACGAAATGGTGTGAGGCTTTCTTCTGGTTTCACAGGAGGATAATGTCGAATTCTGATGGTTAGGATTGTTGTTTTCTGTTGTTACTGTTGGGGGCGAAATACAGGAATATCGCGTGTGTTGACGATTTCTGTTCGTGGTGTGTGAAGAGGCTTTTTTTTGTTTCTGTTCCGATGGGAGCGAAATGATGAAACATCATGTCTGATGATGCTTTCTGTTGTTGAAGGTGGTGGAAATCTTGAGATGTTAAGTGTGATGATACTTCATCTTCTGAAGAGGGTGGAGAAATTTTGGATGTACATGTGAAAAGAGGCTTTCTACAAAGATGGTGATATTTTCTATTCGATTGATTGATTCGTCTTCTACGGCTTATTAACTCTTTACAGCC